AAGAATAGCAAAAAAACAAATGCTAGCAAGGTTGTGGAGAAACTGGAATCCTTATTCACTGTTGGTGGGAGTGTAAAATAGTACAACTACTATGAAGGCAGTATGACGTTTTTTAAAAAAGTTGCAAATAGAAATACTATTTGACCCAGCAATTTCACTACTGGGAATATACCCTAAAGAAACCAGAACTGCCACCCAAGCAAATATATGCACACCCATGTTTATTGTGGCTTTGTTCACAGTAGCAAAGAGCTGGAAACAACCCAAGTTCCCATCAACAAACAAATGTCTAGAGAAGCTTTGGTATATTCACATAATGGAATACTATGCTGCATTGAAAAACAAGGAACTCATGGAAATATTACGCAAAATGGGTGACCCATTATGCTGAGTAAAATATCTCGGTTACAAAAGGACAAATTCTGCATAATGCCACTGTTGTAAGCAGATCTGACATCGAAGTTGGGGGGAAACTAAGAGGGGATAAGTAACGTATACTGCATTGAAACAGATGAGGAAGAGAACTGCTTAGGAGGAATGTATGATTAGGTATTAATGTCATGACAAGAGTCCAGAATGAAAACTGTGTAGTGGAGTGGACTGGTGTGTGTGTGGGGGGGAATTGTATAACAATGAAATAATTTTTTTTGTTCTTCTTACTTTTCAAAGAGAAAAATGAACTGGGGGGAGGGTTGGGCAGGGAGGAAAGTGTGCAACAATGAATGAATGGAAATCCAAAGTCTTTGTAAAATTTCATTAAAATAAAAAAAAATTTAAGAAAAAAAAACACCACCAAAACCAGTGTCTTTTAATAGTTGAGAGTTCTTTGAAACCAGACTCCTAGGATTCAGATCTTGATTCTGTCATTTACAGCTAAGCGACTTTGCATAAGTTCCTTAAGCTCTCTGGGCTCCACTTTCATTGTCAGTAAAATGGGAGTAATAGCCGTGTCTGATCCATCTGCTGAAGTTAGGATTAAATGATTGTAGCATGTGATGATCTTAGAAGAGCAGATGGCAGTTAAGAGCTCTGTATATGTTACAGCTGTTTTTATTTCATTCTCCTCTTTGTTCCTCTCTCATTTAATGGTCCCATCGTTAACCACTCAGCTCTGCCAGGAACCTAGGAATCATATACATCCTCTTCATTTCCTCAGGCACTCCTGGTTGTACCTCCCAAACTTTCCAGACCTCTCCTTTCCTCTCTGGCCTCTTTCTGGTCCAGCTCGGTTGACCAATCATTCTTGCTTCCCCAGGACTGCAGGGACATTGGACTTTCAGTGTCAGGCAGATCAGGACAAGTTAAGGAAGTTAAGGAAGACCCTGGTCTTCCCGATACCATGCATCTACCTTACAAATCTCTGCCCAGATATTGTTTGTTGTTGTTGTACAATCGAGTTAGAACTAACCCATAGCTGACCCTCCAGCAGGTTTTCAAAGGCAGTTAATCACATGGGAAGAGACTGCCCATCTTTTTCTCACAGAGCAGCTGGTAGATGGATTCGAACTGTGTGCCTTTAGGATGCAGTTCAGCTTCTCTGACAAGTTGTTTTGTCTGCCAAGCCCTGTGCTGTTCCCCATTCTCCACGGAAGGATGGCAGAAGTCTGAATACTGTGCTGTTTGGCTCCTTCCCCTCCCCAGCCGTATCCTGCCGGCCCTTCACTCATGGTGCTTTGAAGTGCTCCTAGTTCCAATAGAGTCCTAGTATAGTATAAGCAGTCAACACACTTGGCCAGTAATCAAAAGAGAGGAAGTTCAAGTCCACTGAAAGGGCCTCAAAAGAAAGACTTGACAGTCTATGTAGGGAAAGCTTGCCATTGAACCCAGCGGAGCAGAGCTCAGCTCCAACACACATGGCTTTAACATAGCCGTGGTGTCTTGGATAGTGTCAGCAGTCACGTGGCCGTGCCTCTGCCCAGGCTGTTCACTCAATCTGCGACACCATTGCTCCTATCCTCCACCTTACAGTCTCTGCCCATCTCCTACCCATCCTTTAGGATGAAACTCTGGTGTCATCTCCCCGGGGACACCTTTCCTGATGCTTCTCCTTCCTTTCAAACCCACTCTCCCTCACCCTGTACGACCACACCTGTGACCTTGTCCCACCTCCATTCCCATGGCACCCTGGAGACACAGCCGTGAACCATCTACATCATCTTAAAGGACTTGATCGTCTCACGCTCATGGGCTGTGAGCTCAGGGCCCACACCTGACCCATCCACCCAGCCGTGCACCCCCGGCTCTCAGTGTGAAGTCTGGCACATAGGCGGAGCTCGCCCTCCTCTCTCCTCTACAAAAGCTCATCTCTGAGTCATAAGCTCACTTTTCCTGAGGCTGGCTTGCAGGCTGTCTGTCCACTTTAAGAGAGCTCTGATTGGCTCAGCTCTACAGGATTGAGTTATATCTGCCTTCTTATATGGTTAGTATTTTTGGTATGTATTGTGATGTTAGAACCAACCCATAGCTGACCCTCCAGAGGGTTTTCAGAGTCAGTAAGTTGCTGAGAGGAGCTTGTCCGTCTTTCTCCTGAGGACCTGGTGGATTCGAACCACATGCCTTTGGAATTGCAGTGCAGCCTCTTACCGTTAGACCACCAGAGTTCCCTATAGGGTCAGTACTAGCTGTCGCTTCTGACTCGTGGGAATCTTGTGTGTGTCAGAGGAAACTGCTCCTCAGCATCTTCAGTGACTGATTCTTTTCAGAAGCAGCTTTCCAGCTTTTGTCCTAAAGCAGCTCTGGGTGCACTCAAACCTGTAACCTTTCCATTAGCAGCTAACTGTATCAATGGTTTGCACTTCCTCAAGGAGCCCTCCTATAGAGCAAGCAGGTGTCAAAGCTTGAAGCTCCAGCGTCGGCCCATTTACCCTTACATTGTTATTTCCTCTTTCAAAGTCGGTTCCTTAGAACAGTTTCTGCTTTAAATGGCCTTTTAAAACCACCTGGTCAGGGGCCTTTTGGAAAAATCTAAATTTATCACCCAAGCAAGTTCTCTCTTATGGCTGCACTGACTTGGTGGGGGGAATTCTGTCAGCCTGTGCTTTCCTCTAGAGCCTGGACAGATCAGTGTGTGGGTTCTGTCTAAATGGCTGAGGTGACAGCACTGAGCGGCAGGGAGGACTCATAGGAGCTGGAGGGAGTGGAGGCACTGGCCACTCTGTGGCTGGCTTGGTGAGTCAGAGTCAGCAAATACATGATTTAGCAGGACTGGAAGTTGAATCTAGAAAATAATGGGAAATAAAGCAGAAACAGGAGAATTGGGGGTCAGGAAGATGCCAACACAGTTGTTGTTGTTGTTATGTGCCGTCGAGTCGTTTCTGACTCATAGCGACCCTATGCACAACAGCTCTAAACCCTGCTCTATCCTGCGCCAACCGCACTGCCTCTGACACACCCATCCCGATTACCCCAGTCACCGAATCAATCCATCTCATAGAGGGTCTTCCCCTCCTGTGCTGTCCCTCCACCCTCCCAAGCATGATGTCCCTCTCCAAGGACCCGACCCTCCTGGCAACATGTCCAAAGTATGTCAGACGAAGCTCCAGAATCCTTGCCTCCAAGGAGTAGCCTGGTTTAATCCTCTCCAAGATGAATCTGTTTGTTTTCCTGGCAGTCTATGGTACATTCAGTACTCTTCTCCAGCACCACAGCTCAAAAGCATCCACTCTCCTTCTGTCCTCCCTAGTCATTGTCCAACTCTCTGATGCATAACAAGCGATTGCAAATACCATGACCTGTATCAGGCGCACCTTAGTCTCCAGAGAGACACTGTTGCTCCTGAGTACCTTTGAGAGGTCCCTAACAGCAGACTTTCCCATCGCGATACGCTTTTTGATTTCCTGACTGCTGGTACCAAGAGTGTTAACTGTGGAGCCGAGCAAACTGAAGCTGTGAACACTCTCAATCTCTTCGTCATCCATCCTGATGCTGCTAATTGGTCCAGTGGCGAGAATCTTTGTCTTCTTGACATTGAGCCTTAGTCCATACTGAAGGCTGCAGTCCTTGACCCTTCACAGCAAGTGCATGAGGTCCTCCTCAGTTTCAGCAAGCAAGGTTGTGTCATCTGCATAACGGAGATTGTTAATAGATCTTCCACAAATCCTGATGCCACAATTCTCCTCATAGAGCCCAGCCTCTTGGATAATCTGCTCTGCATACATGTTGAAAAGGTATGGAGACAGGATGCATCCCTGGCGTACACCCTTCCCAATTTTGAACCATGCAGTGTTACCCTGCTCTGTTCTGACTACTGCCTCTTGGTCCAAGTATAGGTTTCTCATTAGCACAATTAAATGTTCTGGGATTCCCATTCTTCTCAGAGTCAGCCACAGTTTGTTATGATCCACACAGTCAAATGCCTTTGCATAATCCATGAAACACAGATAGACATTCTTCTGGTATTCCCTGCTTTCAGCCAAGATCCATCTAACATCAGCAACGATATCCCTAGTACCACAACCCCTTCTAAACCCAGCCTGGACTTCCGGCAGTTCTCTGCTGATGTGCTATTCTAATCGTTTTTGGATGATCTTCAGTAGAATCTTGCTTGCATGTGAAATCAATGACACTGTCCTGTAGTTTCCACACTCAGTTGAGTACATGGAAATCAGCAGCAATCTGCCCGTCCCTTCATCTTGTGAGATGGGGCAAATTCCTCCTCTGATTGTTTCAACTGACTTTTGTAAGCTGCACTTAAGAGGCTGAAATACATGGCTTGTGTTGTCCTTAAGGGCAAAAGTCAAGCAGGTAAGGCGTGTCTAGGAGTGCCAATAAGGAAGGGAGGTGGACGAGGCCCAGGCTGTTCCTGCCGTCCAGACAATTAGATGGGTCTGGGGACAGAGTCTTGAAGACCCTGACCCCCAGGAGATGTCCAGAGCAGCCCGCTGCAGCAGAAAGAACATGGCTCTGGGAAGCAAGTACCTGGCCCAACCTCGTATGGTGAAACCGTCAGCAGGCCACATGCCACCCCCCAGATTCTCACACAGGTTGTCTCTTTGCTGCAGATAGTGACGAACACCTTCCGAACGGCCAACATCCAAATTGAGAGCCAGGAGCAGAGGCTGCTGATGCTGTCACTAGACAAGGACAATCGGCGGACCTTCAAGGATGTGGTCAGGTGAGGCTGGCCTTTCCACCCTGTGGCTCCAGGCCCTATAAGTCCCCAGGTCCTGACAGCTCCTGTTTCCGGTCCAGGGCTCCTTTGCTGGCCCTGGCTCCTCCAATTCAGAGTGCCGATGACATTTGGGGCCAGTTAATGCAGCACTTCCTGGCTAATGTGGGCATCTGTGTTTGCCTAAGGAAGGTGTGGCACCAGGCAGGACCCAGCTTGCTCTTGCTCATCCCAACCCTCCCTTCTCCTCCTGCCAGGCACCCTCCTCTATACCCCTTCAATGAAGCTCTGCCTTTCAAATCCTCTGAGTAGACTTGACCCCTCACAGACTTATCACCTTTGCAGATTTGAGGTTGCTCCCTGCCCAGAGCCACGTTCTGGGGCCCAGAAGTCCAAGGCATCATGGCTCAGTTCTCACCGACAGAAGGAGACAGAGACCATCAAACCCACACCCAAGCCTCTCCTAATGCCCATCAACACATTCTCTGGCATCATCCAGTGAGCCTCAGGGGGCAAAGGAAGAGCAGAGACCAAGAGCCAAAGGCCCCAAGGAAGGATACACTACCCACTTAGCAACACAAGCCTCGGCTCTCTTGGGCGGCTGAGGTTCTGAGCAGCAATGCCTGAAGCAGAAAGCCTATTCGCGTCCATGGTGGAGAACGATGAGGAGGACCAGACAGGCGGAGGAGTGCCTGAGGGAAGATAACTGCCTCACAAGTGACACATGCAAAGCCTGACTCATTGCCTGAACATCCATGCCCCGTTTTCTGCTCAGGCACCCTACCCATCCCTTAAACCAATGTTTACAGCTGCTGTTTACTCACAACCCTATGACCCAGGAAAAAATAAGGAACAGACAACAGGACCTCCTCTGTCCCAGGTCGGTTCCCTTTTATCTCTTGAGCCACTGCCCACCCTAACCCACTCCAGTTATGAGGGGCGATGTCCCCTCCAATAAATGCACACTAAATATTGTTACTGTTTCATCTGTGACCATGCAATATTGCTATTTGAATCAAAATGGTGTAAAGGGAGTTCTTAATACAACCTGGTGGACCCACTTTAGCCAGCGAAGAGAGTTTGTGAAGTATGAACTGGTGAGCCCCATCTCTGCAAACAGCACTAGCTACCACCACTGTCTCAAAGTGAAGGTAGGGGTGCCGGATAGTGTCAGAGGACTCAAGAGACTAGAGAAAGTAAAACACTTGACTTTTCATTCAAAAAATTCATATTAAGGGGAGAAATATGAATATAAACAATGACACACCAGTGGCTCGACCTCTAAAACTAGGTAAGGGTTTAAGGAGAAAGCCACATAGAGAACCTAAAGGCTTAGACTTAATGAAAACCATCCCTCTTCCTGGCAGAGTCTTGGAGGAAAAATCCTGGTGGGAAAATCCCTTTTAAGTATGTTTTCCACAGCAAGGAAGACAATGAAAGGCTGCTGGCAGGGCTGCCTCAGCAGTGGGCCCTCAGGCAGCCTCAGGGGGGCTCCTGTAGCTCATGAGTATGGGAAGCAGATAAGGAGGGTCTCAGGTACCTGAAAGCAGACAGATCCAAGGGGGTATCACAGTTATGGCAGAGGGTCGCAGCTGTGGATCACATGGACAGCAGTGTGGAATGTGGGGCCAAAAGCAGGATGGGGATAATGAGAACCCAATGAGTACCAGCCTGAAAAAGTGCCTGCCCCTCAGTGGACATGAGCCCAGGACAGAACAAAACCTAGAAACACATGGAGGCTATGCCTTTACCTGAAACGACCCACTGCAGAACCTGCGGAGGGAGAAGGGGCCAGCCCTCTGTGTGGCCGAGGTAATTCTAAACCTGAACTGAGAAGTCACTGAATTCAAGTGGGGTTACCTGGAAGTGGTGAGGGTGTGTGTGTGTGTGTGTGTGTGTGTGTGTGTGTGTGTGTGTATCAGGCCTGTGGAGATGATAGGAGCTGACTTGTGTCAATTTGGGCACCTGTTAGGTTGTTTAGGTAAAGAATAAAAGGTAACAATTTTTAGGTGAGGTCCCTGGGTTTATGCTCCACTAAAGGTTGGCGGTTTGAATTGATTCAGCAGTGCCACGGAAGGGAGGCCTGGCAATCTCCTGCCATAAAGATTATGGCAAAAGAAACTTACAGAATAGCCCTAGAACAGTCATATCACTCATAAAGTCACAATGAGTTGGAATCAACAGCCATGGATTGAGTTAAATGAAGGATTTGTGTCTCCTCCCCAATAAGTTCTCTGCCACCTTACAGTGAAATCAAGATAAAGATCAAATGCTCTCATGAATACATTTGTTGGAAAGTAGCATTCCCTTCCCCAAATAAACATACAGTCTGTTCTGTAAGTTTAAAGAAGACATCTTTCTTTACTGGTGATGTGATAAAATAAACTCTTTCAATATTCTATTGGTGAGACTCCTCTGTTGTTCTTGTTGTGTACCATCAAGTTGGAACCAACCCATAGCTGACCCTCCAGTAAGTTTTCAGAGGCAGTTAATAGCACGGAAGGAGACTGTCCATCTTTCTTTTGCAGAGCAGCTGGTGGACTCAAACCATGTGCCTTCATTATTGCATTACAGCTTCTTGCCACTAGGCACCCAGAGCTCCCTATCTTATATTTTAATTCAGACAGTAAGCATGCTTTAGTCAGAAGCTAGACCCTGGACAATTTTGGACTAATCAATAGCAGCATTTCAAAGGGTCTAGATGACTACAATCTCTGGATTCTTATACCCTCTTCACAAGAGGAGAGAAATGTCTCCAAAGTATTTATAACTGATTTACATGACTTGGACACCACAAATTACATCAGTGAAGAGCTATTATCTTCAATATCCATTATGCTAGTTAATGAACAAACAAACAACTTCTGTTAACTTGTGATAAAGATATTTTTTAAGTACTTGTATTAGTACTAGGATTTAGATTTTTAAATTAAACACCACCAGTTATTTACATTTTGCATTGGAAAATCTGCTGTCTAGGACTTCTCCAAAGTTATAAAGAGCAAGAACATCAGTTTAAAGACTGTGGTGAGCCTGATCAAAGCCATGATATTTCCAATTATTCGCTCTGCATGTGAACATTGAACAACGAATAAGAAAGACCAATCACAAATCAATGCCTTTAGATCCTGCCTTTGACTAAGAGTATTGAATATCCCATTGACTGCCAAAACAAGCAAATCTGTCTTGAAGGAAGTGCAAGGTTGCACTTAGAGGGAAGGGTGGTAAAACTTTGTTTCACTTACTTCAGGCAGATTTTAAGGAGGACAATCGGTCCTTGGAGAGAGACATCATGCTGGGAAAGGCCAGCAAAAGAGAAGATTCTCAATGAGATGAATTGACAGAGATCTGAGGATGGCGCAGGATAGGGCAAGGTTCAGATCTGTTGTCCATACTGTCACTGAGTCATCCACTTGATGGCACCTAACAACAACAATCTAGTATCTAAGGAGGCCTGGTAACATAGTGTGTGACACATCAGGCTGTTAACCAAAAGATCAGCAGTTCAAATTCACCAGCTGCTTCTTGGGATACAGAAAGCCAGTCTTCTGGAAAGCTTGACATCTTCAGAAACCCAGTGGAAACCTATGTGCTGGAATCGACTGACAGCAGAGAGTTTTATCTGTCTTATGGGGAAGAAATGCCCGGCAATTACTTCCCTCCCCCCCAAAAATAGGCAACGAAACCCCTATGGACCACAATGACCCTATTCCATTGTTCCATGAGGCGGGGGTTAAACTGGATGGCTTCAAACAACTGCAAGTGGCCACCCTCAGGTACAGAAAACAAGTATGCCACGCAGACACACACAGCGGTGGAAGCTCAGCTGTCAGGCTTCTTTAGGGATGGTCACAGCTGAAGAAAAGTGTGTCATCCAAGGTCAGGCCTATCGCGTGGGCAACTCGATACAACAAAACAGTTCTAGACCCCGAGGGGGAAAAAATGCCAGCTTCCTGGAGCTTTGATTCTGATAGAAAACGACAATAAAGCAATAAGTAAGTGGAGTGTGAATGCCTAGTACGAGCGAGAAAAGCTATAGAGAAAACTATAAAGCAGGGGAGGGGAGCGTGTGTGTGAAGAGGGGAGGAAAGATTTGTTATTTTTGGCTGGGTGGTCAGGGACCCTCGCTGAGGATAGGAGGGCGGTCATTGCTTGGGGAACATTTCTCGTGTGTGTCATTAATTTCCTTTCTTTTTCTGGTCGAGATGAAAAGACAAGGAAAAATGGGGTTGCCTTCATAGTAAAAAAAGTAATTTCTAGATCGATCTTGAA